AATGTATAATGACTTATTGTTAGTAGCTCAGCTTAGTGGAGAATATATTGAGTATATTGATTATATTTATGTAGTTTATATTTAGTTCTTTCACATAGGTTTATTGTATGATAGTTGGATAGTTGCAGTTCTTTAGCGTCAATATACTAAATGCCTCTGTTGATATGTAAACTCTGACTTTAACATAGCTACTTCCAAGATCAGTTACGTACATGCTAATCCCTCACACTAACATCATGCTAATCTCCCAGTTACATGCTAATTTCTGACTTTAACACCCTGCTAATCTCTCACATTTACACAGCTACTTCAATGCTAAATTCTCCTGTTGATATGTAAACTCCTTTGTCAAGGCGCTCTGCTCCTCCCACCCAACTTAAAAGACGCTGCCAAGCTTAGCAGTGTTCATTGGAGCGCTGTCGTCCCGACAGTTCAGTTTCTTCACCTGAGCACGGCTACTTGCGTTGTGGCCGAAACGTCGTGAGAATTTTATTTTATCATGTTTTATTTGTATTATTTTATTATCTCCCTTCTACGTGACTTTACCGAAAGAACCAAGAAGATGAATCCCTGCAGTCACGAAAGCTTTAAATCAGTATTTATAATGTAAGAAAATGTAAAAAAAATATGATTTGCATGTTTTGAAGAACATAGCATTTACGAACAACAAAGAAAGATATCCAAGAAATGTATGAGAAGAACTTCATTCTGTCTCCACATGAAAATAAAAACACATACTTGTCCATTGCCCTTGGATTTCCAGTCCAATATTATCCAGCAGCATTTCCTTAAGAAAAAAAACCTATGGACCAGTTTCAGCTTTGTTCAATAAATTCTGCTGGGCTGCCAGATGTTAACACTAACAACTAAAGCAAAACTAATGTTAGTGACAAGAGCACTCTATGTAAACAATGTGGCCCTGTTCAATACAGAAAAGCATTTTACTTACAATTAAATGTTATATTTCCATAGCCACGTACATTTATTCAGGATCAGTGTGGGATGATATGCCCACGATTTGCTATTGACCTGGATGTGTCAGGCTCTCGTAAGAATGTGGAGTGCCCGTGTTATGTACACTGCGCTGTCCGGGTGTGGCTGTGTCCTGGAGAGAACCCTTTGCAACAAAAAAAAAAATTGGCAACACATCACAGGAGTTGTGCGATACTAAATGCAGCATTAAGTTTTTGAAATTATTAAAAATGTAGCGCTTACATCCAGCAGAGAAGTCCAGCCCAGGATATAACAAAGGGTTTTCATCACGGAAAACAAGGAGATAACGAAGGCTGTTTGTAAATTCATGTGATACATCGCATCTCTGTTTTATTTTTTACAAAGATTTAAAATTAATAATTTTAATAATTAAAATCTTAATAATTAAATTGCATGGCAGCAGAGAATTAATTATATTATTGGCCCGTAGTTTTTTTAAAGCACTTTATTCCAATTAATTCCAGTTTGGCTTCATTATTATTCCTCCCAATCACTCATTGTTCATATTTCGCCTTGCATCTTTGTTACCGGTTGCAGTACGTATTGTTTTAACGTATATAATGTATTTGTTAAATTTATTTAAACAACAATAAAAAAATAAAACGCAAAAATGTCCATAATGTTACTTCGGGAAGACAAGAAGCCGGATCGACAACAACACGTGCAACAAAAGTACAAAGTAAAACCCCGGGGGAAAGCGAGAGGGTCAGGAAGGAGCAGGAAAAGTGGCACCCAATCATCACGTCCAGCATCAACGGAGGAGACCCCAACGCGCCAAACTACGCACAATCGTACAATTTCACAGCATCCGTGTAAATACGTAGAAAAAGTTTACAGACGATAATTATCCCTTTCATCTCCAATGGCTCTACCCAGGTGCTCAACATTGGCAGAGTTGATCACAGATTAAACAATAGATTATTTTGCCACCTTCATCCTTTGAAATACGAAACTGAATTATAATATTTTTTACCAGGTAAGGCCCACTGAGCTATGTAGCTCTTTGTCAGAAGCGACCTGTCTGCAAGTGATAGCTCAACGAAGTGGCGTATCATGTGGACATTTATAGCAGCCAAACACTCTAAACGAGTGTTTCTAGATATGGAGGGAAAACCCGAAGAACCCAGTGAAAAATCCACACGGCCACGGGTGGATATACAGCAGGCGTCAGCGTCGGGATTGAACCCACGACCTCCTACATAGCAGGCAAGGGAGTTAACATCTCGCCACTGTGGTTGCCCCAAATTGGGACCTCTAGATAATTGAAAAGTGGGACATCTAGAGAGGTGCAGTAGATTTGCAAGAAAGCACGTGGATAAGTATCCAAGGAGGTGCTCTCTTGAGAGACTATGGAAATCCACGTCAGGTGTGTGGGGTGGGGGGAGATGGAACTGCCACAGGCCTTGTTCATTTCCGCAATATAATTCTCGAACATCTGGGCACAGCGAAAAGGCAAACTCGGAAGTTTGTGCTGTGGGGCGAGGACATTTTGGGTCAAGGCCGTAGCCATGGAGTCAATATTGGGGGGGATCAAATCTTACAGGGGGTCTGGGGTCCCCCCCCAGAAAAAAAATATAAATTTGAAAACAAATTTCCTGCCTAAAATATTAAAAAATTCACTAACACATAGGATGGACTTTTTTTTTTACAATAATGTCTACTAGTGTATTGTATTACATTGCTCTGTTTTTTTTCTTTTTTACATTTTCTTGTTTCATTGTATGTCATGGCAGAGATTAGGGATTAATAAAGTACAACCATAACCAAAATCATATAAACAGAAATCTATTTTATAGCAATGTATTGGGGGGGGGGGGGACATTTTGAGCATATTTCAATATTGGGGGGGATGTGTCCCCCTCAATATCTATTATAATAACGGCCTTGTGGGTAATCGGGTGAGGTCGATAGGTCGCATTTATGCGGCGTGAGCGTGTATTGCGGTGGGTGAAGGCGGAGAATGTAAATTGGGTAAGAAGAATCACAGTGGAGCCGGTATCGCAAAACGTAGCCCGTCAGACCATTCTCCACACTTGTTTTGTCAACGAATGGGATAGCATATAACTGTAAAAAAAAGCTGCTGTGTGGGGGCTTTTGGGGGCAAATTATGATCAAGAAGAAGGAGAGCAAAAAATCTCCGAGATCTTTTTTGTTTCTTTACTTTGACCCTTTTCACCGATTTTTGGAGGCATTGAGGCACCTGGAGGGCTCCAACGTGGGGGAGACGACTCGCCTGAACTGGGGCCAATGAACACGGCGGCGGCGGCGGCGTTTATTTATAAACAGGATTCTCACAGGACAGATGAGGATAAATATCAGGAAACCTCGGCACTCCACCACTGGCCACTGTTATTTTCTATCTTTGTAAAAAAAAACCCATGGACCGTCGTCTCAGGTGACTGACACATTCACGTGTGTGCTGATGACGTGCTCATTTTCTACTTATCTTGTGCTGTTTACCCGCACCGCTTCAAACTTAATTCTATTAATATGCACGCGCTATTCTTAGAAGGAACACATTTGCTCTGAATGCATATAACGCGAACTGCATTTTATTAAATTCAAGACACTGACAGCTCCTTTCTGTGCAAAGTGGCTTAACTGCATGTCTTAGCATATCTCTGTAGATAAATACATTTAGAGCAAATGGCAAACATGTTTGAGCTGCAGAATTGAAGTGTCACCTCCACGCAAACAATTGAGTGCACTCACCGACCGGGCTTTTAGCGCTTAACAAACAGATTAGATAAAGATGCCCCTGCCTGTCGTTTATACACGTATTATAATGATCAGACTGGCCAATTTTAACCCTTCCCGTGAAGCTATAGTTACTTGTGATGCTGGTACAACACATGCATTGATCCTGTGTGTCCCTAATGTGAGTTATAATTGCAATGAAGTGTTCACATACTTCACTGTATCGATTTTACACATTGCTTAGAAAATGTACGTATACATTCCAAAGGGTGTGTGTTTTTTTACTCGATCATTTGATTCAAGTTTTGATTGCTATATGTGTAAATAACGTTAGTGATACACTATTGGACACAATGCCACACAAGTATTGTATTTGCGGTAAAACATAAGCGACTTGCCTGCCTTGGCAGTCATGGTGTGCAATCAAAGGCTGAAAATGCTTTACCACCGTCCTCATGACCACTGCTTAATTACGAAACAATATACAGAAAATGCACCAACATTTTGGGTAATCTCCTTTGATCAAACAAACATATTTAAAAAATTACGTAAATAAGTTTAATAGTGTTTCACTTCATTGTAATACACATCATATGCATTACGTTAATGTAATTGTCAATTTACTTCTGGAATGTCCTATGAAAAAAATATCGTGCATGGATGACTTTTAATCTTTTAATGGAAACGTGTAACCACATCCGTTTTTTCTTTAGCTGAGTGACATCGGCTGATAACATAACGTCTTATCACAAGGCACTTACCTAAGTACATTTGCATGTAACAGGAACATTCATTTCTTTCCGGTATGCTGATGGTTACGTTCAGGAGTGCAGTTATTGATTAGTTTATGTATATTAGTGAGACATGAAGACGTGTTTGTTTGTTGAGACCGAGATGGTTTCTATGTATGTACAGATAAGAAGCATTATGATCAATGGTAATTGCACTTTTAAACGGTCAAATTGTGACGTTTACAACGATAACATGTAAATGTGTTAGTCAAATTCTGACGAATGAATCTCCTCCTCATCGATGGCTTTGGACTTTTACGACTGACTTGAACGCTCCGAGTTCCATCATGCAGTGCACTCGGAAATCGATGGCTCAGTGTCAACGATGTTCAACACCCCAGCGTATACATCAAAAAAGCGACTCGCGACTTTCTTGAATAGTTTCGGTTGATATAGTGGATGATTCACTTTGTTCAAAACAAGAGACAATTCTCGGTCTGTGTGTGTGCGCGTGCGCGCGTGCCGCTCAGTAAACGATTCCTCTGATGTGGTCGCCTCTGCCAGTGACACCAACTGCTGTTCTTACCCCCACAGCTTCGGCCAATGAGATGGAAGTCTACCTCCGTACCCCGTGGACCACAGCCATAAGCACCTTCCCAAAATAACCGCGGCCGTCAGTGGAGTGACGCGAAGTCACGGTATCGGCGGCAGAGCCTAAGCCTCCAGCTCGCCAGAGTTTCATGAGCGCTGGCCACGATTGTGCGCAGGGCTGATCTGAAAGTGTAGAAGCCTAAACAAGAGGTGAAGTTTACGCTTCGGTGACCGTCAAGTTTTTTGTTTGACGAGCAGTCGGACAGCTGGATCCACAAGGGTGCAGGACGTTGATCCACCGCTTGGCAATACTGAGACGACATCAGGTAAACCGCTTGGCTGGTTCGCCTCTTTGGGATGCATCATGTGCGCGGTGCAATGTTTGGGATGTTTATGGTAATCGTGTCTGTGGTTTACTTTCTATTTCCATCTATTTGAAAGGAAAGAGAAGTAGATTTAATTGAAAATGTTTGTACCAGTCAATCATATTTTATGTGGACGTGACGTTTTTTGGATGTTTTGTTTGGCGCTTTCTACCCATGGCATTTAACTCTGTCACCGTATCAGCAGCAGAGCCTCGCCTCCAGCTCCTGAAGATGGTTCACATTTACATGACTTAGGGGTGCTTTTGAATAATTTGTCTTGGCATTAATTTTAACAGTGTTGAGTTACTTGACCAATTACAATGCAATTTTTTTGTTAAAGTATTCACATTATTTGGAGGTGTTCATTCAACAGAAAGTTACAAAATATTAAAGTGTTCCGCGCAACAACACAGGAATATCATCCTCAATTAATATACAGCTCTAGAAAATGTAAATCATAGCAATGACAGTAAGTTGCAACTCATAATAATGCATTGTATGGTGTCAACGTCAAATATTTTTTTTAATGAGTCATTATATACATTGAAAAACAAATCTTAATATTGTCGGCTGTCTCTTTGCAACTGTCCATTAGTAAAAGGCAAACGGCGCGCTGCTTAGTGGCTATATTTTTATCCGGTGGCCTGGAATCGGTACGCGTGTAGCCGCCACTCCAGAGGCACGTGCGGCATTTCCCTCACCCCCTCCCCAACGACTCGTGCTCCCCCGTCGCTCGCGCAAACATCTCTCCCCCCCCCCCTGCCCCCCTATCGCCGCCGAGGTTCCACCACGCCGCCCGCTATCTCTCCCTCCCCGCCACCAGCACCACCACCACCACCACCACCTCCGGGGACGAAGTGGCGCGCGCGTGCGCTGGAGCTGGTCACTTTCAGCGAGTTCGAGAGCGGCTCTTTTTTTTTGTTCTACCGCGCGGCACCGCAGCGCTCGATCACTGCCTTCTTCTGGTGGTTCTGGAGTTCCAGAAGTAAAGCGATATCAGTGGGGGGGGGGGGGGGGGGGGGGTGCTAAATATAGCCGACGACCTGCAGCAGAGTAATGCACACGACAGCTGACGCCAAAGGGGAGCGGGGGGGGGGAGAAAGACTGCACCGTAGGCATTTTCTGCCCTTCTTGAACTTAAATTGACACAAGCAGGCGTGCGTAAACGTGCCCTTTTTGAATAAGCCCTCAACAAGTTGCTCGTGTAAGAGTAAACAAAAGTCATGAGGAGATGTCCCCTACGTCTCTTCAGGTAAATTTAGAATGTTTTAGGCCGCCGTGGAGCGGGAATATACCGCCGGCGGGCGGGCGGGGCACAGAGTGGCTGATTTAGCCTGGTTCCTCGTGTCACCAAGTATTTTGGGATATTTTTCTGACAAACAAGTCCCTTGCATCGAGGTTTTGTGTTTCAAAAGGAATCGTGGTGGTGGTGGTGGTGAATAAATCGGCTGACATTACTCTGCAACGTCTGCTCCTTTGTTGCGTAATTTTCTGTTGCCCCCAGCGGTGTGTCTAAAAATTATTGCGCGCGTCTTCTGCTGCCCCTTGGGTTCACGCCATGTCAATTGTCGCACGGAAGTGGCTTGTTATATACATACGTCAATTTGCAATAGTGTATTTATAACAGTATGCATTGGAAGTCTATTTTAAAATATTCACGTTAATGTAAGTGGTTACAGCACATCTGAAAAGAAAACACATGGACATATAATATTTATATGAAGATGTTACGTACACGTGTATGAGTGATACGCAGTAATATAACTTGCAGTCCGTGAATTACACACCTACCTTCTGCCAAAACAAAGAAGGTGAATTATTTTCGTCTCCCATTGTCTTTTAAATGTTTATTGCGTGTGTTCCTTTTTCATTTAAGGTGCTTCTGACATTTTTTTCACGAAGGGTACCTTTCATGAACAATTATTCAATATTAAATCTGGCACATTCAATTCAAAAAGATTGCAGCCCATGTTGCCTGTATAGCAGGTGTGCCGAAGTTAATGTGGGATAATTACTGAGCACTGGGTAGCGTATTGGCCTCCTGCCTGGACTAGATTTAGTCTTCCGATATAGCAACATACAAATATCAGTGGTTCCAAAAAACTGAAATTCACAACCTTCAGTACAATTTCAGCACGCCACCTACAGTACATACAGTATTTGCTTAGCTGCACATTCCCGCAGGGAGTTGTCTAAGTATAGGTATTGGTTAATTTTCCATGAGGTGCTTTCACAAAATAGGAATTCCCACTGATAAGGATGGAGAGCATTTGGTAACCAGGAATTTTGGGATCTTGACAGTGATGGCAGGGGAGTAGAAGCGTTTGCGTGGTTAGGAAGTGACCTCAGCTCTCTCATGCTCCATACTTCCTCATGGGATTGTGTGATGTTATGGAACATTTTTTTTTTATCAATGCCGTATGTGGGCTCTTTAATCCTATTACAATTACTGCCTATAAAATGTGGCCAATTGTGTCGAATGGCACGTGCTGAAAACACATACATTTTCAATTTAAAAAAAAAAAACCCTGTATACAATACTTGAATAATGTTCAGCCCTTTGTCAATCCAATGTTAGATGAAAGCATCCCCACACTGTGTCGGTCATGGAGGTTGCTTAACGATACTTCACCATGCTAGCGAGTGCAGGTTGGCGAAGTGGTGACTCAGGACCCGTTAGGATATTGAATGTTAGCCGCTGCTGTGAATACATCTCAGGTTGCCGGGTGAACAGCACAGTGCTCTACACAATGCAACACTGCTGCTGCCACCAATATCTCATAGTATAACTCATTACATTTGACAACAAACTTAACGTTTTGTACAATAAACAACACGTTTTTTTAAATGTGTTTTAAGGACGTACAACGTTCAATGATTCACATTTTATCTACTTATATTTGTGTCGTCATCACTCAAATCCAATATTCTGAAAATCTATTCTACTCTTTGGTTCTTTCGGTAAAGTCATGTAGAAAGAAAATAAATTAAATAATAGAAGATCATTCTATTAGAATACCATTCTGTTCTATTGTTTAATTAATTTTCTTTCTACGTGACTTTACCGGAAAGAACCAAAGAGTAATTCCTGCAGTCACGAAAGCTTCGAATCAAATCTATTCTACTGTCGCTGTGAATAACTTCAGCGAAATTGTGTCGTCTTGTTTGACTCTCCTTGTCACTTGTATTGTGATGCATTCTTCATACAATCTCATTGTAGGTGTTAAAAAAAATTCAATGGGGTTTAAAACATGTCATTTATAAAATGTTTTTTTTCCATTATGACTACCAATTGAAATATACAGCATTATTATAAAAGCCACTGAAATTGAATTGCATTATAACTACAACCACCAACGGAAATGAACTACGGGAAATTATTTGAAGAACTTCATAAAGAAGAAGGCTCAAGATAAATATGAGGAAAAAAAAGTCTCACGCGAAGTTTGCACAACTGGAAAACGCATCGGGGTATTTTGTGTTTATTTTGCTGTCCGTCCCCGCACCTCCGATTAGCACGGTTGGCTTTGTTCGGTGTGAAAGAAGTTCAAAATAAATACGTCAGCTAATTCCAACACTTTCTATGAACGATGAGAAACTCATCGGACAGGAGAGTGAGTGAAGGCAGGAAACGAATATGTGTATTATATACACAGCATATCTAATCAGTTATTGGAAGCAGAGCGGGATCAATATAATGAAATAAGATGATAGAAGTTTGGAGTGCTTTCGAGAAAAATATTTAATGATGAACAGCAACATACTAATCTATCTCAAGAAGAGCATATTTAATCAGCATATATTACCTGTTATGACATATGCATGAGAAACATGGATATTGATAATAATAATAATCAACATTGATTAATGAAGCTTTAAAAGTGCACAAAGAAGCATAGAGAGGGACACGAGGATTATCGAACATCTACAAGTTAAAGACATCACATTGCAGGCTTTGGGCAGTACACGTTGTTGGAAGGGAAGATGGCCATTGGTCGATATTAAGAGCAGAGTGGCAGCCAATCGGATGGAACATGACTCATAGCACATCCACCGAGGAGATGGAGTGATGAAGGCAGCTTGTGTGCAAGGGCTACATGGATTGTTGCATCGCAGTTCCATTACAGATGGTGACGACATTGTGGCAGCCTTCATCCAGAAATTAATAGATCATGGCTGATAATGAAGATATGGCAATTTAAGAAAATAACATGCGGAGTCTTGTCTCATGACCAAAAACCACATTTGTAGAGAGGAAATGCCTTGTACTATTAATTTGTTTTGTATGCTTGTTAATATTGGGTGTTTACAAGCATTGCTGGAATTTCATCTGTGAGTGTGCCAAAGGATTGCCCTTGTATCATCTAACGTTAATGTGCTGTGGTTTTGTAACTGGAGTAAGAGCACATGATTTGCCAGAAAGGGTGAGGATTCTGCTGTGGCATTCGCTCAGAAGTTGAGTAACACATCACTGGGAGTTTGCACATGAACGTGCTGCAGTGCTGACAAAACACTGCAATGTGCACAACGCCAAGAATTGCAGTTTTATCTGTGTAAACATGAATAGCATTAACATGGCTATCCAACAGTATAAACAGCCTAATTTTACTATTGCATGACACTATAAGACGATTTTTAACCAGTGTGATATTAGTCTTGTTTCATTGCGCAACTCGATTTTATTTTTCAATGAGAATTCACAACTTTTTTTAACGTATTTTGAACTTCTTTCGCACCGTACGTAGCCAGCTGTGCTAAATTGGAGGTCCGAATCGGAGGTGCAAAAACCCATTGACAAGCCGTACATAGCCAACCTGTGCAGAGTGATGGTGACTAATCAGAGATGCCAACCGTGTTTACATAGCCCCAATAGTGAAACCACAATGAAGCCAGGAATGGCACATCCTACAATTTTTAGATGAGCTGTCGCATAAACATCGAGAGGGTCGTTGGTTCGTTTGAAACAATGCGGCAAGTTTCTTAAATACCCCACCTCTGTCCACCCAGCAGGATCAATGGTCACGCCACAGTTAGTAGATGGGCAGGTTGCACGTGGTGGGGTAGAGTGTGGGTATCTCTCTTCCACGATGTCTGGATAGTTTGGAAAAAAAAAGTAGGCCAAATACCATAGATATCCTCCTAGCGCAGGCCGTTCTGCCAGGAGTGGCATGAGCGCAACATTGCAGGGCTGGCCCTTTTACCTACCACCTCTCACCTAGAGGCGTGTACGACACAACACTTGGTGCATTTCTGTTGTTACTTAAACGTGAAGCATGCATTATTTCGAGGAGATGATTTGGAGCAAAAAGTATAGGATTTTCAACTTAAAAGCAACGATGGCAATAAACCACGTTCGTGGACACAACGATCCGCTCTGCGGTATGCAGCGTACACATCTGGTCAATGGCGAGCACTGACAAGGTCTTACAAAAGAACATTTCAGATTCATGGGACTTGCCTTTTTCATTTGTGTCAGCATCTCGCCGGCTCTCACCAGCCCTTTTCCTTATCATCCTCCACATTGGAACGCCTGATTCCGCCCACCGCGCGTTACACCACATCACTGGCATTCCATGCTTCTATGAGTAGTTCACATTGTGTGTCCATGTGTCAGGCGTGAATATGAAAGTAATGAGTTATTCGCTATGAAATGTGAAACCCATGGCAGCGCTTAGCCACAGGTCGAATACACGTCTTCAAGATTAAAAGGGGACATTTTTTTGTGTACAATGGGTCTGGTTTTGGAGGTCAAGACACGTGTGCTCAGAGTATGAATTGTTCGGGCGAAGGCATTTTTTTAAAACTTCTGAGGAGTCTAACGTGCACCAGCGAGCCAAATAATTGGCACGAGTTCACACGGAAAGAGCACTCATTATGGAGTAAGTGAACACTGTCTGTAATTCGCGCAGCAGTCGTGGCATGTGCATCGGTGACCTTTCCAGCGTCCAACTGTGGTGAAGAGCAATTATCCTCTTTCAGAATGTGCTCACTTCCGCTCCCAGGTGTAGCTCAATACAATCACGGTATTTGTAAAGGTTAACGCCTAACCGTAGTTTAAATGGACCGCAGTGGTCGTTCAAAAGTTTGCGCTCACTTTTGTTTTCTCTTTCGCAACTAAACTGTTTGTTTTTCTCATTCATTCTTGCCTGATGACGGTTACTTGTGTTGCAATCGAAACGTCGTATTCTATTATTCTTTTATTTTATTTTCTACGTGACTTTGCCGAAAGAACCAAAGAGTAATTCCTGCAGTCACGAAAGCTTCGAATCGAATTTAAACTTAGCATTTGCGTAGGCGATAACTACTGGCTACATGTGTTGCCGAGATAAAAAGAAATGGTGTTGACAATGTCAATAGTTCCTTAGATAATTTTTTCCATAATATGAAATATGATGAGTAAATTAACAAATGTTTATGGAATGGGTGTAAAATGGATGAGTTTATTTACAATTGCTATTCATAAAACATAATAAAATGTAAAAGGTGCTTATTTTACTTATTTTATGTTTTAAACTTGGCATTTATCTGTAAAAAATATAACACTGCCTGAAAAACGTGTTTATTTCTGTTTCCTCGTTTGCATGGTACTATTGTGTCAGAACAATTGGATGCAACACAATAATGGTAAAGTGAGTTTCAAGTTGTCGCGTTTTTGTCTCGCCTTTATTACAGTATGCAAGAAGGAAACACAAACCCAGGAATCCCAGGGCATTCACCTGGGACGCAGCAGTGGGAACGGCATCAGAGCGACGCCCAAGGCCACACGGGAGACCAGGAATTCTTCCCAGACCTGTCGGCGTTCCTGAGCCAAGACGAGCTCAACAAGAGCGTTGACCTCGCCCGGGAGGCCATCGGTTGCCCCTCAGCTGAAGATGTGCTCGGCTCCACGAGCAGACCAAATGCAGCATGCCAGGCCATACTGGGTCCCAGAGAATCTTTGCCAAGACAGGACCTCCAAAACATGGATAGGGTCCTCCAACAGAATGAAGCCCAAGAACCCGAGAGAACACTCAACAGCTGCCAGCCTGTCACGAGCGACGACGAATCCCCCAGTCGAGCTCAGCAGAGGCAAAGCGGGTCGATAGACACAAGTTGCAGCGCGTATCGGCCGTCGGCCATCCGTGGCAGTGAAGGCGCCGGGTTCGGCCAGCAGAAGCAGGGCGTGGGGAAATCCGTGGGCAGCGAGACAGACTCGAAGCACAACGCGGCAGCGCTGATCGAAGAACTCTCATCCCTGTTCAAGTCGGGCCCGCCGCGGAGAGGCGGGCGAAACAGAGGGAGGCGTGCGGGCCGTGGGGGCCACGTCTCGACGGAGGACATCTGCCAGGCGATGGATTGTCCGAAGCAGGGGCCCACGGCTCCTGCGCCCGTCGAGAGGATCCGCGTGCAGTCCAAGGAGCAGCTGTTTCAAATGCGGCAACAGCAGCAGCAGGCGCAGCAGCAGCAGCAGCAAGAGGTGTTGCCACAGCAGCAGGAGGACCAGAACTCATTGTGTGACTACATCCAGCATCAGCAGCAGCAGCAGGATGTCCACAAGCCAACCGAGCCCACCACCTGTCAAGAAGATTTCGACGCGAAGCAAGATTCGAACCACAACGACCACCAGCAGCAGCACCATCACCACCAACACCAACATCAAGAGGCGAGTGCTCAGCGCGAGTTTCCCAACCAGCAGCAGCTGGAGAACAGCGTCGAGACAGCGGCGGCGGCGTCAGCGCAGCAGCAGCAGCAGCAGGCGGTCGAGCCGAGGTCTGGGGACGCCGCGACGTCGCCCCTCGCGAGGGAGCCGCCACGCTTCACCACCAAGCTGAAGAGCCGCGAGGTGCCCGAGGGCAGCCGAGTGCAGCTCGACTGCCGGGTCAGCGGCGCGCCCGCCCCGTCCGTCAGGTGAGAGTCGCCGCCCGTCGGTGGCTCGTGACCCACCCCCCCTGTCACGGTGTCCTAGCTTGTTGTTACGGAGCAATTCAGACCTTGTTGGTTACACCACCACCCACCACCGTGCCCTTTGGGGCCGTCCATAAATGACGTCACGCACCTGGGGTGGGGGGGAGGTCAGATATTTGTGACGATGTCTGACAAGAGGGGGGGTGTGGTTGAGAAATGTGACGTCACATCAAAATGCGCAACTTTAAATAAATATAGACAACACGTTCTACTTAATTAAATAGACTTCTTTTTAATGTTTTCTCCTACAACATCAGAGTGCAGCGCCACATTAAATACGCACTACAATGACAATAGTAGAAAGCGATTTGAAGCATGCTTTATTTTCAAAATGGAAATGTGGTTTTGGTAGGGGAGGCAGAGCTTTGTGACGTCATATTTGAGGGGAGGGGTCTGACTTTTCGTGACGCCGTGTGACAAAGGGGGGGGGGGGGGCAAAAATAGTCCTAAATCGCGTGACGTCATTTATGGACGGCCCCTTTATACATCGCAACATTCATACAGCGTCCCATCACAAGCGAGAAACACAAATAGACAATCACCACTACACTCACCACTACACTCACCACTACACTCACCACTACACCCTCCACTACACCCACCACTACACCCACCACTACAACTCACCACTACACCCTCCACTACACCCTCCACTACACCCTCCACTACACCCACCACTACACTCACCACTACACTCACCACTACACCCACCACTACACTCACCACTACACTCACCACTACACTCACCACTACACCCACCACTACACCCTCCACTACACTCACCACTACACTCACCACTACACTCACCACTACACCCACCACTACACTCACCACTACACCCACCACTACACTCACCACTACACTCACCACTACACTCATCACTACACTCACCACTACACCCTCCACTACACTCACCACTACACCCTCCACTACACTCACCACTACACCCACCACTACACCCTCCACTACACTCACCACTACACTCACCACTACACTCACCACTACACTCACCACTACACCCACCACTACACTCACCACTACACCCACCACTACATACCCGCCAATGCCTTATCAGTGCCCTACCTTATTACATACCAATTCAGACCTTATTGGTGACCCAATGCCCCTTATACATCTCCATGATCATCCTAAGTCCCATCACAAGGGAGAAACACAAACAAATGGACAATCACCACTAGTACACTCACCACTAGTACACTCACCACTAGTACACTCACCCCTTGTACACCCAACACGCGTACATTGACCACTACACTCACCACTACTACACTCACCACTAGTACACTCACCACTAGTACACTCACCACTAGTACACTCACCCCTTGTACACCCAACACGAGTACATTGACCACTACACTCACCACTACTACACTCACCACTAGTACACTCACCACTAGTACACTCACCACTAGTACACTCACCCCTTGTACACCCAACACGAGTACATTGACCACTACACTCACCACTAGTACACTCACCACTAGTACACTCACCCCTTGTACACCCAACACGAGTACATTGACCACTGCACTCACCACTAGTACACTCACCACTAGTACACTCACCACTAGTACACTCACCACTAGTACACTCACCCCTGGTACACCCAACACGAGTACATTGACCACTACACTCACCACTAGTACACTCACCACTAGTACACTCACCACTAGTACACTCACCACTAGTACACTCACCACACGACGCACCCCTTATCAGTGCCCTACCTGACGGAGATGGCGTACCCCGAGCTGAGGCAACCAACACGAAAGCCTAGGCGGTCGTGCTTGGGCATGTGTGTACACATGGCCACCTTTCGCAGGTAGTCGAGTGCACACCTGTCAACCCACGCGGTTGAACACCGTATTCTTGTACACGGACATTGAGTTTTCAGGTCCGTACGGCGTACAGCCGTTTCAATACGGGCAGACAATGGCGTTGTCTATTTTTTGTGTTTCTCCCTTGTGATGGGATTTTGGAGGATGAATGTTGAGATTTATAAGGGGCACGGGGTGACCAATAAGGTCTGGATTGGTCTGTAATAAGGTATGGCACTGATGAGGGGTTGACAGGTATGCAGATGTTTTCCTAAGAAATGTAGTATGAAACATATTGAGGTCTGCATCGGTAAAAAAGCGTAAACATTTTGAGGACATTCACATTATGAGGTGCAGACATTATATACTGTTTGGGTATCTGCAGTATTCCCCTGTGCAAATTGAACGTTTTCAAGTAGTCCATGTTTGCCTGCTGTGACACGGATGAGAAACATGAACGTTTACAAAAGATGAAAAGTGCTTCAAGAAGCATAACGAAATTCAGACTTGGAATTGTATTCCCGGACAGACGGAAAGAGGACAAAATGGATCAGAGATCAAACACGAGTAAGAGATGTCGCATTGACTGTTAAGAGCAGTAAGTGGGCTTCGACAGGAGACACTTCTCAAAGGGATGATGACAAGGCCGGTGATGGAATGTCAGCTAAAGGAGGGAACATCTCACAAGAATATTGAGGACATGAAACAATGAAATCAGCGCATGTGTGGGGAAGGAGATGGATTGTGGCATCACAGGACCATGAAAGATGGTAACGACATGGGCAAGCCTTCATCCAGCAGTGTAAAGAAAATGGTTGATAATGATATTCAGTATTCATTGGTAGCGTTTATATATATATTTTTCATATAAGCTGTACTGTTTGTGTAGTTAATGTCAATGTTTAATGGGACTGGTTTAATAATGTTTAATGAGTACACGTGAAACCGTGGCTCAAAGTTCAAATAATGAAAATCAGATAAGGCAAAATTCCATATTACAGCTATTAATAATGTACACTATTTTTGTTAATCCACTGTTGGAATAAGCTTTCCCCATGCTGTGTCGAATATGGGGGCTGTTTGGCCATACTTCACCATGCTGGTCAGTGAGCGCTAGTGAAGGCAGTGTCCAGGACCTCTTCAGATATCACTCACCACTGACGTTAGCTGTGGCCAGGAATCTAACTCAGGTCACTGGGTTCATAGTGCAGTGCGTTAACCACTGTGCCACTGCTTCCCGACGGTATCATACTGTAGCTCCCTTAAATTATATTCATGAAAATTAAACTGGTGAGTAGCAAGCTGATTTAAATGACCATGGACATCCTGAAATTCGTTCATGTTTAACAGTCAGTTGTGAGTGCGTATCACCATCCACCACCTTTTCTCACGTAACAAAACACATCACTCCAAAGCTATTTGCTGATATATTTGCTGCAGCGTATATATTGCGTAGATTTTGTTTTTGTAAAATGTTTTGAGACAGTCACATACACACATGTTCAGTGAACTAGAACACGAAGGGATGCTGGTTATGTCAGCTAGTTCCTCAGCTGAAACATTAGCCAAGCTGCTGAAGGAGTTGTGACAGAAATTCCTGCTGCCTATAAAGGCATTAATATCTGTGTCAGATGTTGGAGGGTCTTAACAAACACAAATTTGGCCAGATCGTTGCGGATCCTCACCTATAAAAAAAATCTATGATGGTTCATCATATTGGCTACAAAAACCTCTGTGATCAGTTATCTGAACCTTTATTTACAGGTAACACACTAAGTATCTAGAGGAGTTTTGTTTCTACCCTGAATGTGATGTTGGATGCTATCGTGACTTGCTCCACTTTATTACATGCTACCATTTCCACTCAAATAACATCAGTATACTTGGTTTTTTTCTGCTTGTATTGTCAATATGAACTATGACTCGCTTCACATAATGATGTGTACACTTACTTTAAAGTTAACAACAAACACAACATATACGTATTATGGTGAATACATTCTCTTCATCAACATCATTATCATCAGCCATGATCAATCCACTGTTGGATAATACCTACCGAAGCTCTCATCCTATCTCACGTTCCTGCAATGTGATAATCCGCGTGGCACCTCCACACGAGCTGATTTAACTACTCCATCTGCTCGGTGGCCAATCCCGAATGAGCCCATGTCCTAGTTGCAAATTAACATGGCGTATATATAGGTTTAATAATCTCGACAAAGAAAAATCACAATTTAAGTTAAAGCAGGTGAAGATTTGGACCTTTGGTAACGATGTCGTTCGATAAGCGGCAACTGGTGAGTATAGGCCCGTTCAGAGAAATGGTTACACAAAGACACGTAAGCCGGTCGGCCCCATGATTCCCCATAGTAAACATAAATCACCTCTTGCAATTTTTGAGAGGCCGCTAAGCTTACACCCACCCCCAGTAAAGTCATCCCCCTTTAACCTACTGCTGTCGTTTTTTTTTCCCCTGCTGGTGAGCTACCGTGACCTTTTGTCTTGATGCACTGTAAGCTTGGATTGCACCAGGCAGCTCGTGCGTGGTGGTGCGTGTGAACCTGTTTTATTTATAGGGCCTCCAAATTGCTTGCATCAATTATTTCGCTGCCAAATTTGTAATGAAAGTTTAATTTCACACCTGTCCTGCTGGTATGATTTGCTGTTTTCAAAGACACATATATAGTTTACCCCTGTATGCAATTACGAACAATAAAAAATAAATCTGCAAGGAAAGGCACAGTGTCACAATGTACCATACATTTTGTTTGTAACGTTTGCATGCAGCCCCGTAATGCTGGATTTCTGCAGAAAGCTGGCCAAGCAATATTACAGTTTAAAAATAAAATGCCTAGTTATTAATTAAGTTTCATACTTTGAGGCAAAGTTATTTGGCTGTACTGCAAGAGTTACAGTGGCCCGCTGATTAAAGAGCGTCGTGGAAAGTTTACAATCCCCCATGTGTAAAGGGTGGCACGCTGATTACTGTCACAGAATTTGAGATGCTGTCTGGCAGAGAGCTCTGAAGCCAGGCATGGCTTGGAACATTGAGTGATAAACTCACAGCACTCATCCAGTTATGACTTCAGCTGTAAAAGAATC